GCTATATTACAAGCAAATGCATTGCCTCTTTTCTGTATTAAAAAGAAATAAAGGAGTGGAACAGTAGCATATTTCTTTCCTAAAAGAGAATACAGGCAACATAACAAGATTGCTTGTCTCAATTGCCAAACTAGAATTGAAACAGTTATATTGGTGAAAACTGTAGGACGCTAAGAAAAAGACACAGGCATGTCTTGAGCAGAGGTTTGAAGCTGCAGGACACAGCTTGACAAACTCTTGAGTTTATTGATTCTTATATACTTGTTACATACATAGGCTTTACCATTTAATGCTGACAAAGGTTTCTTCACTGGAAAATGTCTTCATGTAAGCAACTATTTTCTAGTAACACATTACATGTTCAGAGATCAGGTAAAGAGCAAACAGGAGAAGGAACTAACAAAGAGGAAGAGATAGGAGAAGGAACTAAGCATATTATCTGTTTAGATAGGTAAGGCATTAAGTCAAAAGGGTATGAACTTCTGGCTGCTTCATTAGGACAAAGGGTATCAAAAGGTTATGAGGTTTGTGGGGGGGGAAGCATGGCAGTTTGCTGCGCGTGCAATTTCCTCCACATCTCACTCTTCTCTATTTTATTAGTGAAGACATTATCCTAAGCTGGAGTAGTTAGTGGGTATTAGTCAGGGGACATATAACTTTGCATTTGTTTATACAAAACATAACTTGTTCCTGAGGTAAGTTAATGGTAGTTTAGTGTGGAAAATTGAAAGTAGAGAAAAAAAGACATTGAATAACCATATATGTGAATAATTAAAGGATACCTCTTGAAAGGAGGTACAATTTAAAATTCCTTGACTGACATGTATACAATGAAGTTTTTTAGATGAAGTAGTACAATTGACAATTTTTGCACAAGTAAGATTTGTAGGAACAGCTACAATTGGTGTATGTAAAACAATAGCATCAAGGGGTAAGATATAAGAGATAGGACCCCAGTTTGACATAGTTGCATAATAATATTCATTGTCTGATAGAAAATTGCTTAACCAATATAATTTTTTTAAAACTGAAGCGGGAACACACAAAGGTATAAGACAGGTAGATAATAGATTTTCCATATCATATGATTCAGAAATACAAAGGTCTGTCATTTGTGTGATATTAGCTAATTGCACCCAAATATTATATTTCATCCGTGATTCTAAAGGATGAGTGGGAGAGCTTGAGCCCCCACACAGCAATTAAGAAGGAAAGAGAGGCAAAGAATGACTAAGGAATTTGCAGTCAAAACCACAAATATGGCAGCGCATAAATTCTCTGGTGTAAGTTCTTTTCCCTGTTGCTACAGAACCATCTGTGCTTTGGATGTTAGGTTTTTCACATCATCCCAGGTTGTTGGTCAACTGCGATGGCGAGAGCGAAAGGGACGTTGTGCTGTCTGAAGAGTCACCTGCTTCATTTCCAGTATTGGGTTCTGGACTTGATGCCATGACTTCTTTGGCTGGTTGCCCAATGAGGGAGCACAGCTTTCTGCTGAAAGTGATGCTGGTGGGCAATAGTTTTTTGAAAGGAAATATTTAGCTGATTTAAAGTTATTAGGACTTTATTGACTTGATGAGTTATCCATGCCAAATTAGGTACCCTTGATCCCTCCTTTTTTATTTGTTTGTGAAGGCAGTCCTTAAAAGACCGATGCATATGTGAGAAACAAAGGATAGCTGCTGTAAAGTTAAAAACAAAGCCATAAGATTGGGGTCGATCCTGGGCATGATGTAAGCACCTGGAAAATTAAAAATAAATTGGCACACATAATGAGAGTCAGAGATTAAGTTAAAAGTCTATTGAGAAAAGGTGTGGAAAGCTAAAATAGCAGCAGATAATCCTGAGCATTGTGATGAGGAATGCACTGCAGTGTAAGACACTTTCCAGGTTGTTTTCCTTTGGTCAATAAGTCAAATTCCAAGTTAATCAAATACCATTCAGATGGAAACAAATTTCTATTAAGTAGGTTAAACATTTACAAAACTTAAGTAAAACAATTCAGAGTCATTTCTTTAGGTTGATAGATATATAGGTCTAACTAAACAATTTAAACTCAACAATTTTTTTCCCAAAAAATTGTCCAACAATTACTGTCTCTTCTTTCGAGTAAAACTTTGTAATCTGAAACTGCAAGAGTGGTCATTAAATTTCATCTCCATTCGCAAACTGGAATTCTAAGCAGAGAGGAAAAAAAGTTTTAAATGAACAGTTCCCCCCTTCTACTTTCTGTCTCTCTTGCTCTTAAAGCAACACAGCCAGTTGAAAAACAAAAGAGACAGGAAAAGTTTTTGTTACAAACTTCTCACCACTAAAAATTAGTTTTCTCTCCTTGGCATGCATTTTCCATAAATTCTCTCACACATTCTCCATGGGACTTTTCTCATGCAAACACTTACTATTACTTTTCAATTACAACAATAAAATCTGCAGTTTTTTATTTCTTTTACAGCCTGGGTGGGGGGTGGGGTTTGAGGGCTAACACACACACTTAGGTATCAACAAATTAATTCATTCATTTTCATTCTAGCTGCTTGTATAAACAATTCCACATACAAATATTTCATTTCATACTTTCTCCAGGCAAACTAGTTATTTTTAAATAAGGCCTTTTTGTATTGTTGTTATCAGAGAGGGTTTGACCCTCTTCCAAGTCTTGGAAATAACACAGAACAACACAGACAAACATATATACACAAATACTAATAAAACAACATTGATTTAGACATATGGCTTGTCCTGCAAGAAGCAAGAAAAATCATGAGATGATTCTAACCAAACGTGGTTTTTTTTATAGGGCCCTTTTAATCATCTCCTATTTTTCTCACCATTCCAAGCCCAAGCATAATGTTCTGGGTGGCCATACACACATATACACACATATACATAAACAAAACACACATCAGTTTGGGGTTTGATGCTAAAACAGGCCTCCCCTTTTAATTAAAAAGGAGGAGAGCATTTATGGTTACTTCCAACTTATCCCAGCAACTTCAAAAGACATTGGGGAAAGACTAAAAGGAATATTGAAGGTGTGAAGGGTGAGGGAAAAGTAGCAGCCTCCTCTCCTCACCCCTTGACAAAAGGGAATTGATTAGAGCCAGATTAAAAGGGGGAAAAGAGAAGAAAAAACTTGCTTTCAGTTCTTTGAATTTTCTTTTCTTTTTCTTCTGTGGCTTTAATTGTTATCAGGTAAACTAGCCAACCAGAGGATTACAAAGTTTTTCAATGTTGTCTTGTTAAAGATTATTTATACTTCTACACATCAACACAAAGCACCATCAGACATTGTCTGACAGGGTTAAACTTAACAGCTACTTGAAGTTTCAAAACATCCCAATTGTTCAAAACACATTGCAGAGGAGTACATTTTAATTTGTTTCTTTAAATTCCTCTGATGATTCCCCATATATATATTTTCTACTTCAAGATTGTTCCTCTAATATTTTCCTTACGGGGGTGTATGGTGGCTGTAAGGAGGCAAAAGAATTAGCCTCTTCAGAAGGAGCTGAAAATCCAATTAAAGATGCTTTCGGAGGCACAGTTTTTACTTTGATCCTAATCAGGTGTGGGGCTTGTAGTTAATTGTTGCCATGCTGAAGCATCTGAACCAAATTTTTCCACTGCTTGATGGCATTGATGCCATTGATGTAATACCTGTACTGGAGCCCAAGATTCAAGATGTAAAGTATGCCCTATTTTTTCCCAATCTCGTAACCTAAGTGTCCAGCGCTTAGGATATCAAGGGGAATGTTTCCCTACCTCACCCACCAACTTCCTTTTGTCCGTATCAGGCGTTTTCACGTCTGATTTGTGTAACAGGAATCTGAGTTCCTTTGCTAGTGCTGAGATAGATTGCAACCCTTACTTACCACTGAGGGGTCCCGTAGGACGAAAGTGCACTTAGAGTCTATTCCAGATGCTGGTAAGTAAGTTGGCTGTTGCTCCCTCGGAAGGGGGGGGGCTGTCCCAGTTGCTCCATGGGGGGGCTGTCCCTGTTTTCAGGTGCCAGATGTAGGACACTAAGAAAAAGACGCAGGCATGTCTTGAGCAGAGTGTAAGGACCCACCCCACTTTGCATCTTAAGAAGACAGAACTCTTGGAATAATTCTTCCAACAGGAATCCTTTATTAAGAAGAAGTGGCTGCAGGCATGCTAGACAGGACTTGGGGTCCAAGCTCTCCCATTCAAGGTTTTAAGGGGTTCCCCAGCAGTCCCATCCAATCACCCCCCCTTCCAGTGATAGTTTCAGGCATCACAATTCCACCCCTTTGCTTCTTTCTTCCGTCTGTATAGAGACTTCAGATAAACTACATGAAAGGTAATTAGCTCCCTTTGTCAGGGTAAGGTTCTTTGATGCTAGTTACATTCAAATTCTTTCTTTGATGTGCAATAAACACATTCAGTTTCTTAGAAGTCTACTGAAGGAAGTGAGGGCCATAAAGCCCCTTTGTTCTCCCCCTTCTCTCCCTCTTATGGCAGAATCCAGAGAAGGCAGAATTGGGAGTTTCTATATTTGATAATTAAAGATGAAATATAATTGGATTCTGACACAGAGGTTTGAAGCTGCAGGACACAGCTTGACAAACTGAATTTATTGCTTCTTATATACTTGTTACATACATAGGCTTTACCATTTAATGCTGACAAAGGTTTCTTCACTGGAAAATGTCTTCATGTAAGCAACTATTTCTAGTAACACATTACATGTTCAGAGATCAGGTAAAGAGCAAACAGGAGAAGGAACTAACAAAGACAGGCAGAGATAGGAGAAGGAACTAAGCATATTATCTGTTTAGATAGGTAAGGCATTAAGTCAAAAGGGTATGAACTTCTGGCTGCTTCATTAGGGCAAAGGGTATCAAAAGGTTATGAGGTTTGTGGGGGGGGGGAAGCATGGCAGTTTGCTGCGCGTGCAATTTCCTCCACAGAAAACTTGACTGTTTAAAACTTGTTCATAGTTTGCTTCCATTTTAATGAATCAGATTCTTTCCCATCAGGTGGAAATGTGTGGAAAGCCCATTATGTGACCCCAATTTTCCAACCTGAAGGATCTGGAGCCTGTTATCCCATTAAGTACTGTCCATGTTCTGGAGAAGGAGTCACCCATCATGATCCTCCTCTACTGTATCATCTCTCAAGAGACCCTAAAGAAGCCATGCCTCTGTCAGCAGACAGTGAACCACAATTTTACACAATTCTGGAGAGAATAAACAAAGCCAGAGAAGAGCATCTCAAAACTCTCACTCCTGTCCCACAACAGCTGTCTTTCTACAACATCATCTGGAAACCATGGCTCCAGCCATGCTGTAGGTCATTTCCATTTTGTTATTGTGACAAAGAAAACAATATGTAATATAGTCATCATTTTTGAAGTTGTTTGTCTTTCATGTTTTATCAAGTCTAGAAAAAAAAACCTCTAAACAGCATAGCATTCACTGGATGAAAGAAAGAGAGTTTAAAATGTGTTGTGTTGCAAAGAAAGATTTCATCTCAGCTTGGGGGGGGTGTTTTGGTGTGGGTATCTGTGTTTCCAGGATTAATGACAGAAATAATAGAAATAGATTTTATTGCAATTTCTTAATTTCCATTCAGTAAGGGAGACCTAGATTACTCTTCTTGAGTTCTGCTTTAGTACAGCACTCTACACTGGAGCTCGTGAGAGTCTCAGAGCCCTCTATTTTTAATTAGGATTTTATAAAGTAAACATAATGACATTACATCACCCAGCACCCTGGTATATTTACAACTGTCATTTCCAAAACTTGGTTTTCCATTATACATACATACATACATACATACACATACAGAAGAAGAACACCAGGGTAAGTTGGCATTTCTTGATGTTCTGGTTTATCGCCAACCAGATGGAACCCTGAGACCCAGGTCTACCACAAACCCACACACATTGCCAGAATTTTACATCATGATAGTAATCATCTGGTGTCCCACAAGGCCAGCTGTATTAGAACCCTCTTCAAGAGGGTAGACTCCCACTGCACCACGGCTAGAGCTAGGATGGATGAGAGAAAGAACCTTCTTAAGGTGTGCAGACACAATGGCTATCCTATGAAATTTATTAGGCGCCATAGTCTACCACTTAGACCCCCTGTTAGGTCTCAAATGGAGGAGCCAACACCACAGACGGTCCAGGTTACCCTCATATTAGTAACATCTCAGAGGCCATGGCTAGGTTATTGGCACCCTACAATGTGAGGGTGGCACATAACCCGAATCAGACATTACGATCTAGGGTGATGAGACCAAAGGATCCCCTCCCCATTACAGAGAAGTCAGGTGTCGTTTATAAGATTAATTGTAAAGATTGCCCCGCTAATTACGTGGGAGAGACGTCCAAACACATTAAAACAAGGATCCACGAGCATAAGTTGGCTGTAAGGAGAGGTGAACAATACTCCCAGATCGGGGCACATATGGTGGAGTTTGGTCATAGGTTTGACTTTAACAACGTCCAGGTGATGGCTAATAACAACACGAAGGGGGGCCGGCTCCTTAAGGAAGCTTGGCTCTCAAACGAGTCCATCAACCGGCATGTAGACTTATGTCCTGCTCACATAACGTTAAGAGCATGGTCCAAGGGGGATTGATCCCCCAGAGGGAAACGACTCAATACCATAACGTGCCTTCTGGGAAGAGGGTCGGTGGAGAAGAAGAGCCCCGAAAGTGCCCAGATAGGGAGTAATCTGCAACTGAGCAACCTTCCGAATGCTGAGGCGTGTGCTCACCCCCAACGGGTGGAAAAACGTATTGATAGCAGAGAACCAACTGCTGACGTCTCTCCATGCCTCGTGAGGGATTGGGTAATAACACAATCCCATTCCAACACACGGATGCGGAGTGATCGTGAATGGAAGGGTCGTAACATCGCCCTCACCCCCATCAGCGACTCCGTGATTAACCCCACCCACGATAATACCTCAACAGTGTGCTCTCGCCTCGGGGATGCGAGTGAACTATGGGAGGATGAGGTGATTGTTTACAACTCTATAGCCTCTGCACGCTCCCGGGAACACCTAAGAGGAGTGACCCCCCCCGGAAACATGCAAGGAGGTGGAAACTGGGAACCAAAGGACCCCCTTCCCTCCCCTTGAAGACGATCACGCATCCCCAAAGAACAGAGAAGCATATGGGCAGCGGAGAGGGGGCGACCCCTATACCGAGGGCTCTATGTGGAGGGGAGGGCAGCAGTCAACCTAAAGGTGTTACGGACTTTAGCAACGCCATTAAAACCGCTCCCATTGATAAGAAAATGAAAAGAAAAGCTAGTGGGGCAGCATTGGAGAATGAGAATCACGATGAGACAACCACAATAAAACTCCGTGACGTAGGAGAAAACAATGAGGTTGTAGCTGTGAAGAAGGACTATGGAAAGAGTGAGGGTGGGAGGAGAACGGGAGGAGGAGTGTAGGAAGGAAGATGAGGAGAACAAACAGCGAAAACATGCAGGCTCCCTCAGCTCATGATCACATGAGGAGGGGAGAAAGGGTGGGGATATAGATACAAGCAAGGAAAGCAAGGAAACAACGGCCAGCAACACGGAAACTACGATCAAAGTGCAGGTGGATTGTCTGAGACCTGTAACAAGGTCTAGGAGCCGTGCGCAAAGAACACCACATCCATAAATAGCTTCCCCCATCGACTGGAAATTACCCTGACGATGCTGGTAGCTGCCAGCGAAAGCTTGGTATTTTATCTTATTAAAACTTTTTATAGTTTGATGCATTTTGGTGTTCGTGCATTTTTGCTAGTTAAACATAAGTCTACCCAGGAATCACCTTTTTGTTTTTAGCATTCTTAAGTATGTATGTATGTATGTATGTATGTATGTATGTATGTAGGTCTTTGGTTATTTGGGTTTTCTCTCGCGTAAAATTGGAAGTGTCTTGGCGACGTTTCCACGAAGTCCCATTCGTCATCTTCATATATATATATATCTAGAGTGCTGTGTGCTACACCCTGTTGCCCAAATATGAGAGAGAGAAATCTTTGCCTTGTATCAGCTCAAATTAGAGCCATCCACAGGCAGCAGTGGCAACTGCGACACCATATATATTTCTAAAATTTGGATTGCTAGCAAAGAATTAAGAGAGAACTGGGATAGCTATTTCAAACTTTTCAGTTCTTTTCAACCAGACATACTCTTCTGAGATTCGAACCTGGGCTGTCTATAAGTTAAGCAGCTGTGTTAACCTCTAGACCACTTTTGCCAGCTGTGTTAGGGAAGGAAGAAACGGGAGGAGAATTATCTAGAGTGCTGTGTGCTATCTTTTGCCTTATATCAGCTCAAACTAGAGCCATCCACAGGCAGCAGTCGATGGTTCTAGTTTGAGCTGATACAAGGCAAAATATTTCTCTCTCCCATATTTGAGCAACAGGATGTATGTAGCACACAGCACTCTAGATAATCCTCCTCCCCTGTTTTCCATAACCTGTGATAGTCTTGTGCCAGACTCTAGGGGCTCTTCCAAAATAAAGACTACATCATCTGCATAGGCCTGTAATTTAAATCTCTCTTTCTTAGTTTCTAAGCCTTTAATCAATTTATCTTCTCGAATTATTTTTGTTAAAACTTCTAAAGAGAGTACAAATAATATGCTGAAAGGGGGCAAGCTTGTCTCGTACCTTTTTGTATTTGGAAACTTTTTGTTAATTCTCCATAATTACTTTTGCTTCTTGTTTAGAATAAATTGCTTTGAACATGTTTATGAATCTTTCCCCAAATTCCATATATTTAAGTTGGGTCAACATAAAATCCCATCTGACGTTGTCAAATGCTTTCCGATCAATGCCATTTGCTTTTCATTATGTGATTCGTAATATTCTAGCGTATCTAATGTGATCCTAATATTATATCGTTATTTGCCTTTTAGGCAAGAAACTGTTTTGATCAGTATGGATAAATTCAACTAAGTATCTTTTTAATCTTTCTGCCATTATTGTCATAAAGATCTTGTAGTCCGTATTTAATAAAGAGATAGGTCTATAGTTTTTGATGAGAGTTAAATCAGAGTTTTCTTTAGGAATTAATGTAATGATTGCTTCTTTCCATAAATTTGGGATCTTTGCTATTTTTAATACTTCATTAAAGTTGGGCCCACAAGTTCTTGAAGATTTTTGTATATTTCAGACGGTAATTCATCAGGGCCGGGTGTTTTATTACTTTTTTGTTTTTTAATTGCTTCTATAATTTGCTGAAGTGTTATGTCCTTGTTTAATATATTTTGGAATTATTCCAGGACCTTCGGCAGATCAGCATTCATAAGGTATTGTAGTATTCTTCCCTCACTAATCTTTTCATCACCTTATAGAGGTTTTTGTAGAATTCGTACATCACATTTTTTTTTCTTCAGTCTGGTGTACCATCTCCCCCGCTTCATTGCATAGTTTACTAATCCATCTTTTATCTTTTTGTTTTTTCAGTTTATAGGCCAACCATCTCCTGGGTTTATTTGCCTTTTCAAAAAAAAATTGGTCTGATACTTTTTATTTTTTGTTCCAATTCTTCTTTTTCTATAATGTTCAATGTATGTTTATTTAGACCTAGTTGTCGTTTGAAATCCCTACGTTGTGTTTTTTTTTTTTTTGGTAGTTCTGTTTCCATTTTTTTGTGTTCTTCCTCTAGACTTTTTTGGCAATGCCTTTTCTTTTTATTTTCATTGGCCATGTATGCAATTGCAGTTCCTCTCATGACTGCCTTGGCTGTATCCCATAGATTTTGGGTATTAGTCTCCTCTTTCTTGTTTGTCTGGAAGAATATCCACATTTGTTCTTCCATCTTATATTTGAATTCTTTTTGATTTAAGATTGCCTTTTTTAAGGTCCACTTACTTGTTGTCTTCTGTCTTTTCCATTTGATTATAATAGAATTATGGTCTGCCCATGTATTAATATCTATTGTTACATCCTCTACATCTGAATTTAATTCTTTCGTTGTCCAGATCATATCAATTCTAGACCACGATTGGTGATGCCCTGAATAATATGTGAATTGTTTTACATTCAAATTTCTCTCCCTCCAACTATCCTGGATGTTAAGTTCCTCCGTCATTTTAAAAAAAGTACCAGGCAGTATTCTTCTAATTACTTTCCTTGCATTCTCAGTTTTATAGTCTAATTCTCTATCTACAATTGCATTGAAGTCGCCAACTAAACAAATATTCTCATTTTCAATATCATCGATAATCTTATGTAATTTCTTGTAAAATTGTTTCTCATTGGGAGCGTAGATTCCTACCAGGGCGACTTTTTTTTTTATTCAGGGAAATTTCAATTATCCGTATTCTACCTTCTTCGTCTTGATAAATTTGTTTCGCTGGGATTCTTTCCTTGACATATATCACTATTCCTTTTTTCT